ATGACCTTTTCTGCCACAATGTTGGCATGGAGGATAATTTCCCTTCGAACCTCCGTTCTTGTTCTTGTTTTTGTTTGCTGTAGCATTGCCACTTATAACAAAATTTTTCTTGTCCTTCTTCTTCTTCCTCAGTTTTCCTCTTTCTTGATGCTTGACTGGCAGTGCCCCTTCAACGGCTCCTTTTTGCCTTATGACCCTTCTTTGCTCTTGTGCCTGTAAAGCATTTAAGAGCTCTGACAAGGTAATCTTGGACAAATCGAACTTTTTAGTTGAATGAATTTCATAAGTTTAATTAAACTATATGGAACGGATGTCAGAATTTTTAACGCAATTGTTGACACATATTCAATCTTGCAAGAAACATAATAAACACTGAGTTGTAATTCATTTGCGTCCTTTCAATAAGACTTTGTCTTGAACATTAAATGTCATTGCAAATCAGTAAACTTGAAACACAAAAAGAGGTAATGAAAAAATGAAAATACAAATAAGGAAAAAGCAGTAAAATCATATAGAAGTAGAAATGAGAGATGGAAAAGAATATGGTTCAATGTCTACTGGTATAAGAAAGGAAGAAAAAAAAAACACTCTGCACAGTGCGGAGCATGGTGTCCGCACACCACTGACACCAGGCGTTGTGTGCGGACACCACGCTCTGCCTTGTGCAGAGTTTTTTTTTCTTATATCAGTAGACATTGAACTAACAAAGAGAATTCTATTACATGGAAAAAAGAATCCCTAAATTTGATTATACTGAAAACTAAAATATGCCGCATATCATCGCCTCTACTAATCTCCCGGGCACTAAAAAATTTTAAAAACAAATAGGTCAACAAACAAACCAAAAATTTTAATCTTCCACACACCATCATTCACGAAAATATCCGTTGGATTGCGGAGGAGATATTTTCTGAACCATCAAATGGAAATTATGGTTGGCTAGTTTCGTTGACTTCTGATTAACAGAAGATTGCGCCAGAGATGTCATTTTTTGGGGCATCCGGGTCGGCTCAATTGACCACGTTAACAGTGAACAACACCAAAATTCTCAGAAATTCACTGAGACGAGTAAAAAATCATGAAATTTAAACAAAAACCAACCTTACCTCAGATTATACCCTGGTAGTAACGGACGGAGCTGCTATTGCGGCGGCAGAAGAAAAAGCACCACAAATAAACCAGAGAAAGCGATAGCGATGTTTGTTGTTGGGTGATGAAGAAAAGGAGTGATGAGGATTGATGATGGTGATTATGGCCACCACATCTGTTCCAACGTCGATTGTTGTTCTTCCCTTTGCGGGTCTTTAAGGATTCCATATGTTGGGGGAAATTTTGGGGGGCTTTATCAAGTGGCTCGTTTAAGAGAAGAGAGATTATACATACTCAAGATATTTTGATCTAAACTCGTTTTTGAACGGTACCTATCCGGATTGAGTGCGAACATGAGAGATACAAAAATGAATAGTGCACAGGGGATTCCCTCTCTTATAGTAGAGGGGATTAAATATCACATTGAATGATAATCATTTTTGAGACGAATTTAATCTTACTTAATTCAATTATTTCAATAATACTCTACTTTTCATTTTTTAATAAATTTTGTGTTATTAATTCTCAATAAATTAACATTCACATTAATTTATACTTAATTAATCTTAATCTACATGAATCTATAGTTATCATTGGTGAATTTATTTCTATTTATGTATCTAGGAATTTTAATCGGTATTTAAATCCATGTATTAGCAATTAATTATTCTTATATACCAAACGTAGTATAAAGATATTGTTCATTTTTAGTATTTCATTATCACAAAAAAAACTTGAATCATAAAAGTTGAGTTTTGAGAATACAATTTTCTTTTCTTGAATTTCTATCCTAAATTTAATTTTCTTTAGTTCGTTTAAGACTAGTCAAATCTTCCCAACAAATTGGTATCAAATACTTATATGACATTTATAAAGTATTTCAAAGTAACGTCCAATGCACGTAGAAACCTCAGTAATTGGAAAGAAAATGAGGACTTAGCATGTATTACCAATTATTTCTTATATACCAAATGTACTATGAAAAAGTTGCTCATTTGTAGTATTTCATCGTCACAAAACTTTGAATAGTAGAAGTTGAATTTTGAAAGTACAATTTTATTCTCTTAATTTTATATCTTAAATTTTATTTTCTTTAATTTGTTTGAGACTCATCAAATCTTCCAACAAATTGGTATCAAATACTATTTTTACAACACTTATAACTTATTTTAGAATAACGTGTAATGCACGTTTAATTTTGACTAGTATTTATAAATATTCACGTAATCTATATATTTTGAGAGATCTATAAGCATTATTCACTTATTCATTATTCATTTCAATCTTTATATAACTGAAATCGTTCATTAACATTTTTTATACACGTTCGAAAGATGAGTTCCGATGTAATGTTTTGATTGAATTGAAAAAAATAGAAACTAGCCACGTGTCACCAATCTCATATTATATTTCTCGAGTGTCAAAGTTATAATAGAACACAAATACTTTTTTGTTTTTTCATCATGAATTATGTCCACCAAAATTTTGACACTACAAAATTGTAGCGAGGTGTTAAAATTTTAATGGTGAAAAAATCCAGGGAGGCGTTAAAATTTTGACAGTGCAAAAATCAGAGGGGCAACCAAACTAGGATGATAGATTTGAACTTGAAAAAAGCTAAGGGTCTGTTTGATTGCAAGAGTAGAATTTGGGTGGAAAGAAAATGAATTACAGTGAATTGAATTGTTTAGAATTATTTTTCTGGGAATTGTCAATTAATTGTGTTTGATTGATATAATTTTCCACTTGAAAAATGTTGAAATTTTGGATTTTTTGATATTCGTTTGACTTTATTTTTCATNTTTGACTTTGTTTTACTTGAAAATTGTCAATTAAAGTGAAAAAAAATTTATAATTGGTTATGACATTTGTTTTCATTGCAAAAAAACAAAAAAAAAAGGCTGGAAACCATTTTCCCACTAAAGTGTAGGAAAACCAATTCAACAAAAACAAGGAAAAAGGGGCCACTGAGGGGTGGGAGAAAAATATTTTTCATGGAAAATTTTGGCTACAAAACATGGCAAAAGTGGGATATGAAATTTCAATTTCATTTTCCATGAAAAAAAGCCTATCAAACCGGCCCTAAGTTCAAAAGTAATTAAGAGTAGAGAGGAACAATAAGAGATGATATTTTGCATCAAATAATTGAAAAAAATGAAGAAAACATTTGAAATAAAGCTGACTGGCAAGGGTTTTCTAGAAAGTAGTTATCTTGTTTCTCTTTAAAGACCACGAGAGAGTCGATTTAGCCAAATTTTCAACCTAGCACATCATCGTGGGGCCAAAAGTAAGGTTTGTCTAGCAAGTTAAGTTCGACATAAAATGTACAATAATTAAGAAGGGAATAACTAATTGTGGACTAAAACCTTTACGAACCCGCTCGTGTAACTTACACGATGAAGTTTCAACTTTACTAGTACACTTGTTTTCTCTTTAATGAACAAATAGAGAGAGGTTCTTCGACCTCCATTCAACTTGTTTTATCTGAAAATGACGAAGAGAGAAGGGTTCTTAAACATCAATTACAAAAAAAAGAAAAATCCTTAAAGTTACCTCTAATTGTATTTAGCATTGGAATGGAAAAGTTAAGCGCTTTCCCGTGAACAACATCACCGATGAAGTTTCACGTTGTTCTTACTAACAAATTTTCAAATATTGAAAACGATTAGGGGTGTCCAAAAGTCTCAAACCGAATCGGACCGGATCGAACCGAACTCGAACCGAATCGAGCGGTTCTTCATAAATTAAATACCCAAATGGGTACCCGAATCGAGAACCGATGTGTTTGGGTCAGGTCTCGGGTCTAGACTAAGAACCGAAACTAAATAATTATTTTTATTTTTTATATTAAATTATTTAAATTATTTAATTTTTTTCTAAACAAATTAGCAAATTAATTAAATAAAGCAGATTATTTCATAATTTTAATTTTAAAGTTCAAATCATTTTTAAAATCCATTAGCCCATTTTAATTTGGAGCAAATGAATATACTTTATGTAGTGTTGCTGTAATATTAATATCTATTTTTTGGTATTTGTATGCATTGAATTAATCTTATTGGACGGCTAGTTATTTATATGATTTTGAATTGGGCTACGTTAATTTGTAAAAGTTACGAATGAAATGTCATTAGTTGTATTTATGTAGTGTTGTTGTAAATATTAAAAAAATTAATTATACCGAACGGAACCGAACCGATCCGAACCGAACCCGAACGGTTCCATAATTATATTTAGACCCGATGGGTCCATTTATTAAATACCCGAAAGTTTTGGGTCGGTTCGGATCTCTTCAAAACCGAACCGAACCGACCCACTAACAGTCCTAAAAACGATACTCTTAGAGACACTTCGACTATTTCGTTGGCCTACTTTTCCATATGTTTATACATAAAAAAAAGATTTAATAGAGAGAAAAACATATTTCCTATAGAGACAAATATACATAGTTATGCACTCATAATTAATATTTTAGAGTAATGTTATTTAATACTCGTGCAAATGACTACATTTTATAGATTCAATTAAATGAATTATTTACTTTATATTTAAATAAATTTATTATTTAATGCCATGAAGTTGTCAAGTGCTTAACATCAATAATGATAAATAGCATTATTCAATATTTTATATCTTCATGAAAAATGTTTTCCAATAGCAATTGCCTATTTGGCTATTTCTCCATATTCGTGTGCTACGAGTGCAATTTAACGAAATGGTGGGCCCTATTATAAAATTCACATTTCTACCATAACGCATAACTTCACAATTTATAAACATTATTTATCGTAATAATTCTTCAGCGACGGATCTAACCCAGAGTCCCCGATACGATTATCTCCTGAACCCTAACCCTAATTCTTACATTTCTGTGTCTACAATTGAATCCTATTACTACGTTTTCAATACCAATGGCCAGCGACTCAGGTGAACCCACGCGTCGCAATCACCGTCGTTCAGTTTCTACCGAAGACTCGGAGGAGCCTTCCAAACGTCGAAAGCACCATCGGCATCACCGCCACCGTCACCACCGCCATCGTAGCAAGAAAGAGACAGAGGAAACGTTCAAGAAAGCAGACGAGAAACTAGAAGGAGGAGGGATTGATGAAATTCAAGTCGAAGAAAGAAAATTGGAAGGTGATGTTATGAAAAATGGAGATGAGGGTGCGGTGGGTGAGGTTCTGGGGTCGACTGGGGTGGGATTTGTGGATGTGGATTATGATATGGAGGAAGGAGAGATCGTGGAGGACGAGGGTTTAAATGACAATGGTGATGGATATTTTGGGAAGCAAAAGAAGTTGGATTCTGATGTGGAGTCGGGGGAAATTGAAACTGACAGACACGACAATATTATCACGGTGTGTTCACTGTTCAGTTCCCTCTTTCCCACGTTATTCTCTTACAGTTAAATTCTTGTCGTAGAATTTGTTTTTGAATCCTGGGGTTTTTAGATTGTTTGTAGTGACATTTTGGATACCCAGAAGCTCATTGACAAGATTTTTGTCTAGACACACACATGCACACTTTTGCTGATAAGATGCTCAGGAGATGCACACATACACAACAGAAAGAGACTCAGATAAATCACACAAGTATAGAAATAGTTGTTCTAAATGTTGTCAAATGGAAGTCTTTCAAGATTTGCTAAATTAGAGAAAATCTGATGAAATTTTAGGTTGGACATGCGTATTGAACTCGTGTGTTTGTATTTTAGATTTAATACTGAATCAATATAGAAAATTGACATGTGAAAATCATTCCTCTTTGTATGAGGATGTGAATCTAGATCAATTTTTTAGAGACCAACTCCCGGAGGAAATTATTACAAGTGTCTTGTGTATTTTTAGAGAAATCCTTGATGTTGTTAGACAAGCAAATCACAATGATTTGAATCAAGACGATTATTTTGTTGAAGTGCCTGAAGAATAATTTCTGGTCTTTTCTTTTCGGAAGAATATGCTAAAGTTGCCTTATTTTACTCAAATAAACTATTATTTGAAGATTTTCTTCTTTTCTCTGTGATTTTGGATTCTCAAAAACCAAGTAAGGCACCACGTGGTCTTGTGAATTGCTTGAAATATTTTTCTTTGACGAGTTTTTATTGACAATTTTAACTGACTGTAAGGTCATGGCCATTCTTAAAAGTATCATAGTTGCACTACACAGACACAACAATTTGTATTCTATATGGAGCTTTGCACTCTGCTGCCTTTTATTCCCAGGCAAAGTTACCTTAGGCGTTTCCAGAAGACTGGATTGATGGCTTTGAGTTGATTTGTAAGAGTTGGTTACGTGTTTATAATTTTTGCTCATATTTTAATATGTCAGGATGGTCTTGGGGATTATCAGGTTTGAAGTTTTTCTTTTTAACTTTTGTTTTGCAGGAAATTAGTGAAGAGAATATGTACATAGTTAGTAAGAATTTAAGGAAATTTGGAGATGCCAAAAGAGGTGATGAGATGGATTGGGAGAGAACAAACTATGCTGAGGGTCTTTCCAATGGGAATCATGTACATAAATGTCACAGTGATCGCACTAGGAATCACACCGTAGATGCGTCTCCTCTTGAAGGCGTTGACAAGAGGATAAGTGAATACGATTATGAAACTCAGGGTAGTTTTCAAGGTAAATCTCTATCATCTGAGAAGAGGCACAGAATTGTTTCACACTCCCCCTCTCATGACAAATACGGGAAAGAGAGTTCTAGTAGGAATGTATCCAAGTCACCTGATTGGTCTAGGGGAAGGTCACGGTCTCGAAGCATTTTTCGTGAGGCTTCTGTTGTCAGTACACTGCATAAGCAGGAGGATTCATCTTATACGGAGAGAAGACACAGGAGCGGTTCATATGATGAAAGGGTTATTGCACACGACAGAGACTACATACAGAGTAGCAGAGATGTTGTAAGGGATACAGAAAGGGAGCGTAGTTGTAGCATTTACTCAGATCGAATGGAAAGGCATCCCAGCAGAGAAACATATGATAAATATAGGGAGGGCAGTAGGGATAGAACTAGAGAGCAAGATGGGGAGAGGGAAAGAAAAAGGGAAAGTGAAAGGGAAAGGGAAAGGGAGAGAGAAATGACCAGACATCGAGATCGAGATAGAGATCGAGATAGGGAGAGGGAGAAGGGAAGGGAGAGGGAGAAGGAAAGGGACAGATTAAGAGAGGACAGGGACAGGGACAGGGACAGGGCTAGAGATGGGGTTAGAGAGAGAAGGGAAGTTAGAGGAAGAGACAGGGACAGAGACAGAGAGAGGGAGAATGAGAGTGATATCAGGCGCCATAAATACAATTCTATAAATGATGGTTACGGGGACCGAGGTTGGTATAATGATTCTAGGCATAGAAAAAATTCTGAAAATGATCACAGAGAAAGATCAAGGAAAACGGATTCCGAAAATGTCAGCTCTAAAAGTAATCTTGCTGAAAGGATTGCTGAGAATATTAAAAGGTATACCTCTTTCTAAGATAAATTAGTCAACATTGAGTATTCTTTTTCCTGTCGGTTCATTTCCTTTCTTTTTTCTTTTTGGTTTCAGGGAAGAAGATGAACAAGAGGACTATCAAGAAAGGATTGCAATGCAACTGGAAGAACAGGAAGAAGATCTTGAGAGAATAAGGGAGGAAAGTAGAAGGCGTAAGCAAGCTATCCTTGAAAAGTACAAAAATAAACAGTCACAACAGCAAATTGGAACTCAATCACAAGATATGGGTAATGTTTTTTTTTTGTTGTCTTTACAGTTTTTAATTGTATCTCAATACCTGCCATTTCTTGCATCATGACTCAGGACAAGTTGTGGATTTTGAATGCCGACTATTTGGTTGGCTTGCATTGGATTGTGATTGTGCTTTACTTTCGACTTGAATTTATTAATCGTTGTGGAATGCTCTACCCTTGTGTTTAAGAAAGTCATTGCTCATTCATGCTAACTTTGCTATTCTCTCGTGGGTAGGCTTTTTGTATGCTCACTTCTGTCTTCTTTTGTCATGCTTTAGCTGATGCTTACTTCTTATGGATCAGATAAGGAGCAAGTTGGCCAATCTTCTGATCAAGTGGCAGCTACTGATCTGGTCGAAAATGTCGATGGTCAGGCAGAAAGTGCTGATGTTTACATTGCTGACCCATCATTTTCTGTTGGGAAATCCCCTTCACAAAATGGCCTTTCTGCTTTGGAGAGGCCTACTGGAATTGGTGGACTGGGGGAGGGTACTCCAAAGGTGTGCAACTTCTATTCCCCTTTCTACAGTTTCTGTTAGGAATTTATATTCTCTTACTTTGTTAGCAAGTTAAACTCTATTTGATGTTTGTTTTTCTCTGAACTACGATGCCCGTTTGGGGTTTTATACTTAATGTATTGGTATCCATAATTGGTTTTGCATATTGCTGCCTTATCTATCTGCTGGTTTTCTTTGAGAACGAAGTCTTAATTTTTCCATCAAACAATGCAGAGTGAGAGATCTGATGATATGTTTTGTGATGATATATTTGGAGAATCCCCTGCTGGCGCCCGCAAAACGGTGAGCCTCATGTGTGCACATTTTGTATGTAACTGCCAAGCTTTCACATGTTTATTATCATATAATAACTATTAACCTTTTACATTCTTTTTACTGCGATATTGATTGCTAAGTTCCTTGCAGTCAGTGTAGTTTGTTGTGTCTTATCGCTCTTGCTTCCTTTGAATCCTCTCATCCTGGTCTTCATATATTCAAGTTATGATTTTGTATTGTTTCTTCGGTTTATAGTTGCGAAATAAATGTGTTTTGGAAGTTCAGGCTTGGTTCATACATTGTATTATGGACTAGGTGCATATACTATCTCCCTATTCTCAAAAACCTGGACTAATCAAAGTGCTAAAACTATGGAATTAGTTACAGTTTGTTTCATGACATGATACAGTAAATCTAGTATTTCATGCCCGTTAAACAATTAACCTTGTTGATTATGTGAAAATGGTCTGCTTAAAGCTTTTTCTGTGGATTAATTATTTCTGCAGGGTAAAGGTGAAGGTTTAGTAGCTGTTGAAAAGAGTGGGCTTCATGACAACTGGGATGATTCGGAAGGGTACTATGGTAATTATCTGACACAAATCTCACTTATATTACCTTTCTTCGTATTTGATGATGGTAGTTCCTGTTGGACTAGACACGAAGTCACCTATATACTTAGTTTTTCTGCAAGTCCTATGCATGCATGAGCACATGCAAATTCGTATATCTTGGTCTTTAAGGGTTGTAATACATATGCCTGCACTATTTGATTTAAGCACATACCCTTGAAAAGAAGATGTTTTATAACCAAAAAATGTACTGTTGTACTGGAAACATGTTCGTCTGCCAGATTAATGTTGGTTTCTTTGATCTATTTTAAAATTTTGACCTTCTTTGTATGGTTTACTTAGTTCCCTTATTGTCTCTTTTTCACTTGCAGGCTACCGTTTTGGAGAAACACTTGATGGCCGATATGAAATTATTGCTGCCCATGGGAAAGGCGTCTTCTCAACTGTAGTTCGTGCAAAGGATCTTAAGGCTAAACCAGGTGACCCTGAAGAAGTAGCAATAAAAATCATACGTAGTAATGAAACAATGTGGGTAATTCTAGGTTTCCCTGGTTTTGTGTGATGTGGGCTTTTGCCTGTGAGTATCCAAGATCTTATGTACCTTATTTTGATCTTTTTCTTTCGTCACGTAGGTATAAGGCGGGCATGGAAGAGTTGGTCATTCTAAAGAAGTTAGTTGGTGCTGACCCTGAAGACAAGCGGCATTGTGTCCGTTTTCTTTCTAACTTCAAGTATCGGAATCATTTATGTTTAGTTTTTGAATCTCTTCATATGAATTTAAGGGAGGTTCTCAAGAAATTTGGTCGTAATATTGGTTTGAAGCTTACTGCTGTGAGGGCATATGCAAAGCAACTCTTCATTGCGCTGAAACATTTAAAAAATTGTGGCGTTCTTCATTGTGATATTAAACCAGATAACATGCTGGTATGCAGTCGACTGCCTCTTTATTTGTATCTCATTATCCCCTTTTCCTCTTCTGGATTTGATTTAGTTCCTCCATTTATATTAACTTTGATGTGTTGCCTCTCTTTGCAGGTGAATGAATCAAAAAATGTATTGAAGCTTTGTGACTTTGGTAATGCCATGTTTGCTGGTAAAAATGAAATTACTCCATACCTCGTGAGCCGTTTTTATCGCGCCCCTGAGATAAGTAAGGGTTTTATTCCATTTGAGGCTGTCATTAATTCCCTTTTCTAAACTAGTGGCTTTATATAAGTCTTATCTAATGTTGATGGAATATTTTATTTTGCTGGATTTCATCAAGTATTTACTTTCCTTCTGCAGTTCTAGGTCTACCTTATGACCATCCCATGGATATTTGGTCAGTTGGTTGCTGTCTGTTCGAGCTTTATGCTGGGAAGGTTCTCTTTCCCGGGGCTACCAACAATGACATGCTTCGCCTTCACATGGAATTGAAAGGTCCCTTCCCAAAAAAGATGCTTCGAAAGGTTAGAATATGGTCTGATTTGCCCAGATCATTATATTCCCTCCTACCACTATTCTCTCTTGCAAATATAGCTCTCTTTTTTTTGTCTCGTAAATTTCTGTTGAGTTTTTAGTTTCTACTTTTGTTACAGGGAGCTTTCACGGACCAGCATTTCAACCAGGATTTAAATTTCCTTGCTGTAGAGGAAGACCCTGTCTCAAAGAAGGTAGGCGTGCGATCTTCCTATTGATAATTGGTATTCCAGTTGATTTTCATAGGAGTTAATAGTTCCCAGCATTTTTTTTTTTTGAGTTCTCTCTGTTCTTGCAGGCAATAAGGAGGCTGATCTTTAATATCAAGCCTAAAGATTCTAGTACATTAATTTCGGGATCTCCTGGAGAGGATCCAAAAATGTTAGCTAATTTTAAAGATCTTCTGGAAAGAATTTTTGTGTTAGATCCAGACAAGAGGATAAATGTATCGCAAGCCTTGAGCCATCCATTCATCACGGGCAAGTGAAAATGATGCTGATTTTCTGACTACAGAAATGCTGTTGCATTAGATACTTAAACATTTTGATATGATCTCAATTTATACTCAATTATCTAATGATTGGGTATTTATCCATCTTTATCTTCTCTGTGCTGGAGCAAGAGTTCAGGAGACGGTGGTTGGCGTGGTTGAAGTCCTCAGAGAAGATGTTGGGAGAAACCTGTTACTGGCAGTACTTTCAGTGGATTGTTTTCTGTTTCTATCGTAAGATAACTTGCCAAAGGCGTTTTTCCCTTTTGTACTAATTCTTAATGGTGACCATTAAGAAAGCTTTTTAAATAATATCGTCATTTTTTCTTATATTTGTTCCATTTGTACGCTGGACCTCATTTCTGTGTTTGTATTTGGGGCAATCATACACGCCTCAGGGAAGATAGAATGATACATATAATTATTTCTATCTGTGTATAATTGTGTTAGTTTTAGGAATTTTGTGAAGATAGTTTGCAAGGCATTTTTCTTTTCATTTCCTACCTTTTTATTTTTGTCCTAGGGCTTTGTATATCTGCGACTCTATTGTCATATTTATGTTTTTATTTTTCCTTTTTGTATTCCGCTATAGACTTTTTGGGTCCTGGAGAATCTAATGTTATTTTTCATTCAGGATATCTACCTGTGCTATGAGGAAACCATTCAGTGGTTTATATGCTTAAAAGGCACTCTGAAGAAGGTACCTTGGTTCTGTTTGGTTGTGTTTATATGCGACTCCCTCGAGAATATATAGCTCGTGTCTTTGACGTATTCTAGTTACAGCATATAGCTGGTCTTTTATCTGAGTGGATTTTTATGATCACGGGTCCTGAGTTTGTGAGCTGGTGGTTCATTGTTTATTTATAGTTTTTATATGGATGCCATGAATGCTTGCTATTATTTTCAAACTTGTATTAGACCCCTGATATTGTTATTTGCTATGAACACTGCCTATATATATTTTTTTCTTTTCGCGTCATTTTACCCTCATATATTGTCCAGAACGCACGAAGAATACATGATTGTACGTGCTCAAATTTTCTTTGCCAATTTAGGTTTATCGTTGTGATGTTTTTATTTGGACACAGTAGTTGGTTCTATCTTAGTTGTATGCATCTAATAAGGTTGCACTGCGTCTGATCCATGTTTGGTTATGCTGGAGGATTGTTTGCTCTGGAGGTGGTCAGATGCTGCTTTGAAGTGAGAAATTGCTTCTGTGAGTGATCCAGTTTGTTTTTATTTTTTAATTTGTGAAGAAGAAATCATTCTTAAGTAATATCTCAAAGATTGGTTATTTACATGCATTTTTGTGCTTATAGGGTTCACTCTTGCGCATCTGCAACTCCAGTAAGTAACCCCTATTTTCATTTGTTTTCCTACATTGGTTATTTTAGATATGACAAAATGGGTTGCTGACATTCACTGCCCATGGTTCCTAATATTTATGGATGTTCCTGTAGTTCGTTCCAATGTATTTCCTGGTTGTTAGTTGAAGGTTTTGTCAACCTTTTGATTTCCATGCCATTTGCTTGGGGTTCTTGCATTCTTTTGCATTTCACTGAAATTGTACTTTTTGACTGGATGGGCCCAATATATGGCTGAATAGAAGATGTTATAACCTGATTGCATAGGGATTATGGAAGTCTAATGTTCTCTATGTCAATTCACTGAGTTTTGTTTGGATCACCATTGTGGTTCAACCATCTAGTTTGAAGGAATTGTGAGAAGATGAAGGTTTTTTTAAAGCATGCTTGGACCATAAGAGTTGAGTTCACAGTGTTGATTGATTCAACTGACTCTCTGGTCTGTTGTTAAATCATTGGATGCTGCCATTCATTTATAGGTGAGAAAAAGTTGCCACTGTTTTGAATCTTTTGCTAACCACCATATGTTAGAAAGAGTTTTGGTCAAAAGGTACATAGTTGGCCTGAGTGTTAAATTTGGTTGTAAATGTAATTTGAAGATTGAATTACGTTCAATTTTAAGCGATGGTCAATGATCATATTGGGTTATGTTTAAAGTGTCGTCTACATAATATTTTTATTGTTACGACGGCCAAATCATTTTGAGTCTCCCTTTACTGAGCTTGATTGATATGTAAGGTATGTTTGCTGTTGTAGCTATAGCTGCCTTTTCTGTATCTGCAGTTAAGTAAACATAGCTGTCAAATCTTGATTCTATGATTCGTAATATTAAACACATTCCTACTGCAGAGAATATATACATAATGAGGATTTTAGGAGTTCTCGAAGAATGTGTTCTTGAATTTTAGTATCTTTATACATTTTAGCACAACTTTGTTTCTATTTATGGCCGGATCTAGTATACTTGATCTGATTCAACGATTTTAATCTTCAAAATCGCTTAATTGATACTAAGTAGGATGGATTTAAGGTTTGTCATTTTCGTGCCTCTCTTTTACATACTCTTTGGCTTTGAGGGATTCATCCTTTTTTTAAAGAATGAAGAGCTAGTTTTAATATCTAGGAGTACTACTGGGTTTAGTGATGCCAAAGAGGTACTTGGGGATTAAATCAGAATGGAGACTCAAGTTTGACTCTGCTAGGTCATCAGATCATCAGCTAGAACTTGATGCTTGTGGAATTTCTGGGGATAGCCAATGTTACATCAGTCTCTGCATCTCTGAATGGGGGTTAATACTTGAATGGAGAACTCCATTACACAAAGATAAGTCAAAAGTCAGACGATCGAATCATACAGATTGCAGCTTCCGGTGTGGAATTTTAGAGATTTGGATGAAATTTGTATTTAGACAGTGCTGTGGGTTTTTTTTTTTAATCCACGGGTTTGACAAAGACCCGTACCCATTTATTGATCTCTTCATGTTATTGCAAAACTTGTTCTTGCAATAATCCTTCGGCCTTGGTGCAATTTTTGCTGGGCTTAAAAAATTACTAAGTAAATAAGTTTTTAAAATTAGGTCTCTTTTATTGGTCAAAGCTGAAAATTAGGTAGTGTGCGAAAGTAACCTCTACCTTATTGCGAGTAAAAAGAGAACAAAAATTGTACTGACATGTTTGGAAATTCTCTCTCTCGGACTCGCTCGCACGTGGACTTGGTTGCGTAGTCGATTGGTTTTGTACCTAATTGTACGGGTGATTAATTAATAATCTGACTTTATGAAGCCTTTTTTTAACTACGCGTGATCTCTACCAAATTGACTTTAATAAGGGGAAGAATGTAGAATAAAATACTCCTAAGATGGAAGAGAAGGAAGAGAAAAGGAAGGCTAAAGGCAAGGAGGAGGAGTTTAATTTAGGGTGCGTTTGATTGTAAGGGTGGAAAGAAAATGTTTTACAGGGAAAAGATTTGTCTAGAAAATGTTTTGCAAGGAAAACGATTTCAAATATGTTTGATTGGTATAATTTTCCACCCGGAAAATTTTTAAATTTTCTATTCGTTTGGCTTTGTTTTACATGAAAATTGTCCATTAAAGTGATATTTTTTT